AACAAATTTTCTCTTCTTCCCGCTTCCTCTCCCCTGGAGTCCTTGCTCTGCAGTTGTCACCCGCTAACATCACGCAACCGCGTCGGTTCACTCATGCTCTCACTTCATTGATGTGCTGTGGACCTCAATTAAACTGATTGGAACCCGCTGTTCTCCAAGTCAAAACACTGCCTTACTTCGGAAAATATTTTCACAGTACCATAATTGCTTCCATCTGTAACTGCTCGGCTCGCTGGTGAAGGCATGTCATTATGCCTGAGTGCTTTCATGGCGGCGGGGAAGGAGCGAGTGGCGAGAGAGTGGCGAAGGAGCGTAAGAGTTGACTATTGCCTTTTGTCTTGGTTCACATCAGTAGCGGTACGTGAGTAAAATCACTGGGGAAGCCAGAAAAAAAGCCATATTACAACCTAAGTGTTGTGATAATTGTGTTGTTTGTTCTATAACCTGTTAGTTCATATGCTTGCGACTGTGATATATAGGCCTAAGGCCGAGACAATAAGAAGACACAGTGGCAGAATAAATTCAACCACACCTTTGTTTCATCAAAAAACCGGAGCGCAACCTCTGTCCGGTGAAGTCCACAAAGCATATTGCATGTAACAAACAGTTACATGACCTACAGCATGGTCAAGTAAGTTAATGTTTCCGACATTTTCGGACCACTAAACAAATATTGATTTAGAACCACGTAGAGTTACCACAAGTTGCAAAGAAAACAGAAGCTGCCGCCACTATTCCAGCACCATTTCAACTTCAACATTTAAACATCATCAAATCATCTATGCTTAGTCTAATACAGTGACAACTAAAAGATACCAAAAACAATTTAGTCCAATAAACGTAAACTAAATATGATGTTGCTGTCCATGGTTCATATTTCTATGTGTGTGTGTGTGTGTGCGTGCACGTTCGTAAAACCACAAGTCCAAATCCATATCTCCATCCATGGCTAATTTAGGAAAGTGCCAATTATAGCTAGCTAGCTAGCCACAATGAGATGCAAAAATTCAAGTAGTTTCTGTCAATAACGTACACTTTTTTTTTGGTGCGTCAGGACCATTCACAGTTGAGCTCACTCAGTTTAACTCAACGCTGATTGGCTATTATTATTATTATTTATTTTTTATCAAGGGAGGCCAAATGCTCGCTGGCTTCCCTTGCCTTCAATGCTATGGGCGACAACAATGCCATACTCTTTTGCACCAGACAGCATCAGATAGATGGTCTACAAGAGGCTGATACATTCAGCCTCTTGTGAATTGAAGGAAAATGATGAAACACACATTTTTTCTTGGTCCATTTTTTGGGGAAGCTTGGCTTCCCTTGGCATCTATGAATACATGCCACTGGTTCACACAGACAAAACCCACTCGTCTTTCTGGAAAAAGGCATATTTATAATGTGCTGATTTGGAACAACAAGGGATCGTGCCAGAGGGACTCAGTGTTAATTGCGTCAATGAAAATAGTGACGAAAATATTTGTCAAACACCTATTTCTCAGTAGCAATTGATGAGACAATAACTGACTAAATAGACTCAGAACAAACTATAACTAACATAATTTTTCATTCGGTAGACAAAAATGAGATGAGACAAAATGATCATTGATGCAAATAAGGCACACGCATTGGCTACTCTCCCGGTGGTACAAGCCCCAGGTAGAAAAGTGGAGCCACTTTACTTATCGTGCCGATTCAAACAAGACCGAATGCAATGTTCTTGCAACGTTCTCATGAAACGTGTCTAGAACATTAATATCTTATATTCTGAGAACATGGTAACTATGTTCTGTGCATGTTTGGTGGGACTTTGATGGAATATTCTCCTAACCCTCAGAGAACTTCACATATGAATGTTCTTGCAACGTCTCATGAAACGTGTCTAGAACATTAATATTGTATATTCTGAGAACATTGTAACCACGTTCTAGATATGTTCTGTTTGACATTAAGGGAATGTTCTCCTAACTTTAACACTAAAACATGCTAACATACAGTGAGGGAAAAAAAGTATTTGATCCCCTGCTAATTTTGTACGTTTGCCCACTGACAAAGAAATGATCAGTCTATAATTTTATTGCTAGGTTTACTCGAACAGTGAGAGACAGAATAACAACAAAAAAATCCAGAAAAACGCAGGTCAAACATTTTATAAATTGATTTGCATTTTAATGAGGGAAATAAGTATTTGACCCCTCTGCAAAACATGACTTAGTACTTGGTGGCAAAACTCTTGTTGGCAATCACAGAGGTCAGACGTTTCTTGTAGTTGGCCACCAGGTTTGCACACATCTCAGGAGGGATTTTGTCCCACTCCTCTTTGCAGATCTTCTCCAAGTCATTAAGGTTTCGAGGCTGACATTTGGCAACTCGAACCTTCAGCTCCCTCCACAGATTTTCTATGGGATTAAGGTCTGGAGACTGGCTAGGCCACTCCAGGACCTTAATGTGCTTCTTCTTGAGCCAATCCTTTGTTGCCTTGGCCGTGTGTTTTGGGTCATTGTCATGCTGGAATACCTATCCACGACCCATTTTCAATGCCCTGGCTGAGGGAAGGAGATTCTCACCCAAGATTTGACGGTACATGGCCCCGTCCATCGTCCCTTTGATGCAGTGAAGTTGTCCTGTCCCCTTAGCAGAAAAACACCCCCAAAGCATAATGTTTCCACCTCCATGTTTGACGGTGGGGATGGTGTTCTTGGGGTCATAGGCAGCATTCCTCCTCCTCCAAACATGGCGAGTTGAGTTGATGCCAAAGAGCTCCATTTTGGTCTCATCTGACCACAACACTTACACCCAGTTCTCCTCTGAATCATTCAGATGTTCATTGGCAAACTTCAGACGGGCCTGTATATGTGCTTTCTTGAGCAGGGGGACCTTGCGGGCACTGCAGGATTTCAGTCCTTCACGGCGTAGTGTGTTACCAATTGTTTTCTTGGTGACTATGGTCCAGCTGCCTTCATTGACAAGATCCTCCCGTGTAGTTCTGGGCTGATTCCTCACCATTTTCATGATCATTGCAACTCCATGAGGTGAGATCTTGCATGGAGCCCCAGGCCGAGGGAGATTGACAGTTATTTTGTGTTTTTTCCATTTGCAAATAATCGCAGCAACTGTTGTCACCTTCTCACCAAGCTGCTTGGCGATGGTCTTGTAGCCCATTCCAGCCTTGTGTAGGTCTACAATCTTGTCCCTGACATCCTTGGAGAGCTCGTTGGTCTTGGCCATGGTGGAGAGTTTGGAATCTGATTGATTGATTGCTTCTGTGGACAGGTGTATTTTACACAGGTAACAAGCTGAGATTAGGAGCACTCCCTTTAAGAGTGTGCTCCTAATCTCAGCTCATTACCTGTATAAAAGACACCTGGGAGCCAGAAATCTTTCTGATTGAGAGGTGGTCAAATACTTATTTCCCTCATTAAAATGCAAATACATTTATAACATTTTTGACATGGGTTTTCTGGATTTTTTTGTTGTTATTCTGTCTCTCACTGTTCAAATAAACCTAGCATTAAAATTATAGACTGATCATTTCTTTGTCAGTGGGCAAACGTACAAAATCAGCAGGGGATCAAATACTTTTTTCCCTCACTGTAGATAGAATGTTCCCGTAACTAACGGAAAACTGGACACTCAAACACTAGGGAATATTATGGGTAACATTACAAAAACTTTCTCTCTCCCAAGAATTGTTAGCTGGGACACCACTTTAGGGTTCTAGCCTTTTCCTATTGACATTGTTTAACATTTTGTGAGAGCTAAGGGTCCCTTACAACAAATGAAATAGTAGATGGTTGAAGTCTAGCCTGACACTTAGCCAAGCTTACCCTGTTGAAACCGATACTCCTGCCAGGCAGGTCACGACCTGGAAAACCTGAACTCTGCGACCGCGTGGGGCAATAACTGCTCGTAAGTGGAGCTGACACGTTAGACCATCCGTTGACGCCCGGGATAAATCCTGCTCATTATTGTTTTAACAGCGCTGCTATTTATTACCTGACATGTTTAGAGGAGGTTTCAGAACTGACTGGGCTCAATGTAAACATGATTAGAAGTATAGATCCAGCATTAGGCTTGGGCAGCTCTGGGGACAGAGTGATTGAGCTGTAGGCTGTGTGCCTGATGTGAGGTAGGATAGGCCCTCAGCATGCAGAGCCACGCGCATGCAAAAACACACACACACACACACACACACACACACACACAACTCTGATTGGACTCAACTGACTGAGCAGCCCTTCACCACAGGTCAGCTCAATTAAAAGCTGTGATGTCTACATCTGCTTTGATCAGGCCTGATTTAGAGGAGCCAGGCATAACAAATGCCGGACATTTCAGGGGGAAAGTCACAAGCTCCTGTCCTGACCTGATCTCTAACGAAGATCTCTGTGTTGATGTGTAAAGGAAGAGAGACAGCTACCGCTGCCCTCTTATCCTGGACTGGGCTGAGGTAGACCACCATGGGATATACTGTACATGCACTGAACCTTGCGCTAACTTTGATACCATAGAGGGAGAAGTTGAGGTAGAGGGAGAGGGCGAGAGAGTGTGAGAGTGAGAGAAAGAGAGAGAAAGTGAGAGAAAGAGAGAGAAAGAGAGAGGTGGGAGCAAAAGCGAGGTGAGAGAGCAGGAGCAGGCAGTCTCTATGTGTCACCTGGCAGAGTTACTGCCTTGTCACGCTGTCGGTAACGGGAGCAGTGACAACTCTGTGACACCAGAGACGGCGGTGGCCTCCTCACTCCATCTGTTACGCCCCTGTCCACGACCCCGGGCTCTGCCACATCTCCATCCTCACCCCGCTCTCCCTCACCCCTCATCACTTTCTTCCGTCACCCTCTCCCTCAGCCCTCACGTCTGCAGACTGCTTTATAGATTCACTTCTGATATTTATTAGACTCAGATTTAGCCAAAGAGGAGATGAAAATCGATTCCCCCTCCTTTCCTTCGTGCAGCTACTTTTCTCTGGCTAAGGAGAGGGAGAGGCAGTTAGAGGCAAGTTATCAGAGCCGTCCATCCATCTCCCTCTGTGGGCAGCCGACAGGCCTGGACTGGGGGGAGGGAGTGGGGTCTGGCTTGCGCTTGGCTGTGGCTTCGGCTGTGTGCAGTGGCACCACTGAGGAGCTGCAGAGCCTGGCTATGCTCCCTCACTCAGGGAGAGCGAGAAGGAGGGAGGGAGAGGGTGATGAATGCTGCATTACCCCATAGAGAGACGGAGGGAGCATGGCAGGCTCTCTTCTATTTGCCTGCTGGAGATTCAGACAGGTGGGATATGTCAGATAGAGGTATATGGACTCAGCTGATATCCTTCTGTCTAATCTACCTCAGAGCTTTGCAGACTCACACCTGTGTGTGTGTGTGTGTGTGTGTGTGTGTGTGTGTGTGTGTGTGTGTGTGTGTGTGTGTGTGTGTGTGTGTGTGTGTGTGTGTGTGTGATGGACTGATGTGACAATTCACAGGTTTCAAACAGTAACACTGTGAATGATGAAAGTCATAACTGGTCTGTTTTCTACTTGCAGCATTTTGTCTTCTTCAGACTGTCTATTGAGTATGTTGATGGCTACAGAGATCTGTGTAGACCATCTGAGTGTTGTACACTGGGGAAACTATGTGTTCATCACTATCTAAGACACAGCGCTTAATGATTCTGGCAGCTGATATGATGCTGGCACACCCTTTTGGCATGCGTACACAGGGCTATTCAGCACCATTCATCTTGTGACAACCAACAGCACCTCTGTCAGCAGAGGTCAGGACCGCCACTCGTTTGTCATGTCAGTATCAGAACCATTATCTAAGACAGATCAGATGGGAGAATCCTGGCCACATCCTCAAAGAAATGCTGGGCGCTGAGGCTAATGCACCTTTATCTATTCTGACCGACACAGGTTCAAGCAAGCTTAGAGGAAGAGTCACAAGCCACCGGCCCAGCACCCCCAGACAGACAGAGACCAGGGTCCAGGGGGGTGCAGAGGGCTCCAGGGGTGATGGAGCAGCTTCAAATAGCCCCTCTGAAGCAGGATTAAACTGTTATGTAATATTGATCTGTGTGGCTCTCCAGGTGCATGGCAGATGAACTTGGAGAACTTGAAGAGGCGGAGGATTAATTTGCACGAATGCCTCATCAGAATTAGCGGTGGGATCAAAAGAGCCAGGGAGTCGAGGAGATTTCTGTCTGAGGGATCACTTTGCTTTGCTGTGCCGCCGTCATTTTCCGAACAGAAAACAACTAGGAAAACATCAAGGCGAGTCTACCCAGAGATGAATAATAATTAGCCAGAAGTAGAAAAAACTACAAAGCAAAGCTAGGGAAGGGCAAAAATAGAGCTTCTAAACATTGTCAAAAGATAGAATAAACATAGAAGAAAACAAATATGGGTAAAACATACATGGGGATTTCTACATCTGCATTGCTTGCTCTTTGGGGTTATAGGCTGGGTTTGTATAGCACCTTATGACAACTGCTGATGTAATAAGGGATTTATAAAATACATTTGATTGATTCATTGATTGATTAATGATGACATGGAGCTAGGCAGCAGTCTTAGCGGCAGGTAGCCTAGAGTTTAAGAACGCTGGGCAGAAAGGTCACTAGTTCGAATCCCAGCGATGACTAGGTGAGAAATCTGCCGAGGTGCCCTTGAGCAAGGCACTTTACCCTAATTGCTCCGGTAAGTCGCTCTGGATAAGAGTATCTGCTAAATAACTTAATGTAAAATGTAGTGTATGATGTTCTACCCTAGAGGTGGCAGTTATGTAAGAAACACCAAATCAACACAAATACAGCTCAACATTAGAGGATGGTAATAAACAGACAGAAACACTTCTCTTACCGTCACAGTCGCCCAAGTGGGACACGTTCCCTTGTTCTATGTCTTGCTCGAACGGCAGTCTGGAAGAGGGGAAAGACAGTCATTTATCAATTCACACATAAACAATACATACTGTAAGCTTTCGTCACTGACAGAAACCTCTGCTTTTCTCTGGTAAACAAAACACTATCAATTGTACCAGCAAAGGACAGGAATACTTTTTTTGTGTGGAGTTGAGAGTAATAATACTGTACTGTATATCCTCACCTCTGAAAGCAGGTCTGGATTTGATCTTTCAGTTTGTACTTAAAAAATAATTTACCATTTCTACTTTTGTAATAGGAGACCTTGGAAAATCAAAGGGGGCTTTGACATTATATGATGAAGCGACAAAATAAAAAGGAAATGAAAATGGGTGAGTTCCAACGGCAGCGAGACCCGACCAGGTGCATTGTACTCCCCTGGAGACAGCAGGCCACTCTTAGTCATGGCCCATATCCACAGAAACATCAGCTAGTTATTCTAGACAGTGAATGTATACCATAAAGGCCCTCTAACGAGGAGAAATTACAGCAGTTTGTGCTTCAAAATGGCCCCCGTTCAATGAGGTAATTTAAACAAGGGAAGTGCTCAAGGCTAGAGGGCAGGCTGCACAGCCACAGCCACAGACAGCTCACTGGGATGTGTCTCCTGCTCTACGATCTGCAATTAGTTGAAAAGGCCCAAGCAACAAGCAGGCCAACTGAGTGTTTCACTGCCTGAGAGTAACTTTGAGAAGTAAGTTTACACTGGAGTAGTTGGAGGGTTATTTTGAATATATTGCTCACCCTGATAGGGTATATTGTGTTGGGTAAAATCAGGCTGCAGGCTGTAATCTTTAGAGTAGCTGGGTAAGAAGGCAATGTTTTGTCACAATAACCTCAATGGTGAGAATGTGAATAAGTTTAAGGATTCATTGTCCCCGAGTCTAAAGGAGACCAGATTACAGGTACAGTTATAACTGAAAGCAATATGAAGGCTGATAAACAGACACAAAATACCTACAGTAATAAAACAATATCAACACATAGACTAATCAGTAAGGAACATCATTATCTTCGTTCCAATATAGTCCATGTTACAGTCTTACATTGCAAACAACTGCACGTTTTTTCATCACCCAGCATCATTTTCACTTTTCCAAATGGAATTTACCCTGAAACTGGAACTGGGGCATCACTTGATACAGGATCGATGGACAGGTTGACCACCCTTGCTAAATCAAATCACAACACAGGAGCCTTAATTGTATAACGGTGAGGCCGCAAGGTGCTCTTTAAGACTCTGTTGTCTGATACTGCTGGCACTCTACCTGTGTTTGCACACATAATTCAATAAGCAGCCTCTCTAAAGAGAGATTTGATTTCACTGGGCTGGGTGGACGTGAGGCAGAGCGGGGGGAGCGGGAGGGAGTGGGAGGGTTTACAGCCCAGAACAAGAGGTGAGCTGCCAAGACAGGCAGGAATCTTTCTGTGGCAGGCGTACAAGAGCAACACAACCCTGACAAAGACGTACACCCAGCTCTGAATATCAAGCTGTGTTGAAGAATGCAGCATTGTTGTGAACCACAATGGCAATAACAGATTTCCTGGATGAATAAATGTACACAGCTTGCTCTGACAGGATAGCAAAACTAAATGAAGACATTTTTGCGCAGCCACAGCTTGTGCTGCAGGCTTATAAACTGTATGCTCTGTCAGAGCTTAGGCCTAACACTCAGTATAAATAGAGAGTGTCACAGCAACCCAGGTGGTCCAGGTATCGACTAGACAGAGAACCAGACAGAGACCAGATACAAACCCGACAGAGAGCAGGTATAGGTACGACAGAGGTCAAACGGATGCCAGACAGAAACAAGACAAAAGGTACAGGCCAGACACGGGCAGGTCGATAGCAGACAGGGACCAGACATAGAACCAGACTGAGGCCAGTGCTATGCCCTCGTTCCCCCCCAGTGCCTCACCTGGTCCCGGGCCTGAGGAAGGAGCAGGTGCTTCCTCTGGTCCAGCCACAGTAGGGGTCCCTGGAGGCGATGCAGTTCCTGGAGATAAACAGAGTAAACACAGTCTTTAGTGATGCACCACCCAGGGCAGACAGACACCATGGATCCACTCCCAATATGCAGGGATTATACACATGTATGATTCCCTGGGTTCATTGAGCACATTACACATTTGGCATATGGGTTACTGTATGTCACGCCTCAGTAGGTCTAGAGTCTGCTGGCATCAAGGCAATAAGACTCAGTGGTGGATCGTCAGCAAGGCCAAAGAGCAAGAGAGTAAGACGTGTGTGCGTGTGTGTACGTGTGTACGTGTGTACGTACGTGTGTGTGTGTGTGTGTTGAACTACTGTGACGAATAGAAGTAATGTAATGTTTCCTAGTGTTGTGGTATTTTGGATTTACTGATCTGTCGAAGAGCACTTGGGGATGTGGTATTTAGGTGTACTGAGGGTAGGCTTTACAAGTTGGCAGATGGTTTAGGTCCTGACTAAAGGTGTGATTGTAGTGATTGCTAGTGGGTGGGGCTTAAGATGTGTTACAGATATACTGTATGTGGCTGAGAGGTGTGTGTGGGCCACAGAGGAGTGGGAGAGGGGTGTGTGTGATGGGTGTGTGGAGCTGAGGTGTGGGGTGTGTGGAGCTGAAAGGTGTGTGACTTACTTCATGCAGCGTGAGTAGAGCTGGCATCGTGCCACAGGGACCCTGACCACACAAGAGGGGAAGGCCAGCAGCAGAGACTGGCTCTCCCAGTCCAGAGTCAGGGATAACAACTGCCTTGCCTGCGAAGAGTCCTCCCCACACCTGAAAACACATACACACACACAGACAGTGAGACAGTTGCCTTATTGCACTACACACAGTCGGCTAAACCGCACCACACCATGATGACCTTATCATATCACACACTGACTGAACACAACACAACTCTACATGATCTCACTGCACATCATATCAACACAACCCATCACTGCTTCATTAAGTATAACTCAAACCAGTCTATAAATAAAAGCACAACAATAACAATGAAAGCAGTAAAAGGCCTTCTGAAGCATGGCAATGCCTGGTTGTCACAGTGTCATCTTTAGTATGTAGTGTGCTGATGACTGAGGTCTGGGGTTGGATGGGCATCAAAGCCACCAGCTACACCCTGCATTAGCTCTAATTGGTACTTAGCACTTCCATATCATCCACACACCTGCCTTTGTAGGCTGGATTTATATATATTTATATACATATGTGCACTCCTGCATTGGCTTATTTGGATGGCTTATGGTAATAAAGATGGCTGACAGCTGAGGAGTCATTAGGGGGAATTTATCACACACTACAGTACCGAGTTGTTAGTCATACCTCACAGCAAACAAACTATCTGAGAAACCAGACTGATGGAAGGAGAGAGAGCGAGATGGGGAGGGATAAGAGCGAGCGAGAGACGGAGAGAGAGAAAGACCGACTAAACAAGTAAACGAAAGAAGTAAAACGCAAACAGGTAGAGAAATAATGAAAGTGTGGCCCATTAATCTCTCCGTTTTCCCCGGGTCATTTCATGGTTCATTACCAGGTCGAAAATATAAAATATAATCATTATGTCAGACAGCCAATCAAAAAACAATTTGGGCTTTGTGGATCTCTATCTGCGATGGTGGCGGTGGTTGTCTATCTACCCTGGGACCATTAGGGGAGTTCGTCTGGGGTTAAGGAAGGGCAGGCTGGGAGAAGGCTGATCTGATTACTCCATTCCCTCTCTCCAGATTAGCTGGCTCCCTGCTGAGAGGGGGACTGCCAACCCTGTCACACACCCCTATACCAGGCTCACAGCCACACCACTATCACAGCACAGCAAATCACCCTCAAACACACTCACACACCGGCACCACCGCCGCTATTGCTGCAGCCTTAACTAATTTGTCCTCTGATCTGATTCCTCTGCTCCCCATTTAGTCGTTTGTGGAATGGAACCTCACATTGACGCCTACATGAATGCATTGTTTTGAAGGGTGGCGAAGTAACGGTTTTAACCTCCTTTCACCTGCCAACAAGGTTTGTGCTGCTGCGCTACAGTGTTTCTTAATAAATGAGCCCAGTTTTCCCCTCAGTCTGTGCAGAGAATAGATCAGGGGGCACAATTAGCAGTGCCGCCGCCATAGCTCTGGTTAGGAGACTCTTGCTTAAACGTTTCTAATTGGGCTCAGTGAAAGATAACCAACTAATACCCCATCTGTTTGCTTCCTACCCCCCCTGCGGTCCCATGCATGTGTTACAGTGAAACACTTAGAGATGATTAGTAAGACTATCCCAATAGCACCCATTAGAGACTGTCTGTTAACCCTTACTTGTCAGGGATGAAGCCCTCCAGCTCCTCCAGGAAGACATTGCTGCTGGACACGGTGTTGTCCCGGTTGGGGACGATCAGGAACTTGAGGATGGTCCCCCGGCTGGAGCCCAGGAAGAGCACTGTGCGGTTTCTGTAGGGGCCAGCCTCTGTGTCCATCACCATCTTATTCAGCTGGTACCTAGGGGGAGGAAGAGAAGATGGTGATATAGAGACACTGTGTTTATCACCCAATCCTCTGTTTTTTTTATTTTTTTATTTCACCTTTATTTAACCAGGTAAGCCAGTTGAGAACAAGTTCTCATTTACAACTGCGACCCCTTGTCCCGATTAACCAATAGGCTATTGCGTTGATCTGACAGGATTTGAGTTAGCAATATGGCGATAATTCCACCTAGCCTATCAAACGGCATAGTGGAGCTGCTGTTACAATAATTAAGCTTACATGATCCTATCAAATAGGGTAGGGTCTAGGGCTCAATTTGGGACACAACCAATCTGCATACCTCTTACTGTCATTCACTAAATGAAATTCACACAGTAAAATATTCATCCAATTTACATACAGAACTAATTACCAAGAGCAGTCATTAATATCATTCAGATGAATGGACTTGTCTTGAAACAATAGCACCGTAGCTGAAGTACAAGTCCTGTGTGTATGAGTCAATGTTCTAAAATAGAAGAAGTCGTTCCACTGGGTATTTAATATTCCACATACAACTTGTCACAGTAATAGTCTCCTCCCTGCTCAGGCTCGGCTGGTGGCCATTGTAGTTTGATGCATCCCAGCTGCTTGTCTCCTGCAGCAAATTCTCACAGCGAGCGGATCAACCGACTGGCATAAACAGAAGGAGCACCAGCCCAGAGGCTAATGTGTGTTCATGCAAATATGTCTGAGTGTATGCGTTTGCCCTGAGACATGGCAGTAGACTCCTATGGTGTCTAATGATAAGAAGCCATAGAAGTATACATGTCTCAGGGAAACAGCACAGGATGTGTGTGAAAGGTTTTCTAGTTGTGCGTCTGTGATGTCCCCAGATGCGATCACAGAGCCTCACCTGACCATGGTCCTGACGATCCAGGGCCTCTGTCCCAGTGATGGCACGGCCTCGTCCATCAGGGGGTGGGTCTTCACAAAGTTCAACATCTCATCAGGGAAACCATTTGATGAGTTGAACCTGGAGCCCTGCACAGCACAGCCCCCTGGCCTGTTGGAGGAGGGCGAAACACAGGGTTTAGCACAGGCTCACTCATACTGAGGCACAGGCTGACATTTTCAGTGTTATCTGTGGACAGCTAATGGTGTCTTACACTCTTCCACTTTAGACTCACATAAAGTACATAAATATGGGCCAGGAGATTATTGCCAGGCAAGGCAATACTATACCTTGGTTTGGGAATGAGCTCGTCAGGAACAGGGGTCCATATAGACTCAGGTGACTTCTGCTCCTTGAATCTCCCATCAAACACCCCAGCTAGCTGCTCCATGTCGAAAGCACACACAGCTGAACCAGGGATACTACAGAGAAAGAACCACATACAGTTGAAGTTGGAAATGTACATACACCTTAGCCAAATACATTTAAACTCAGTTTTTCACAATTCCTGACATTTAATCCTACTAAAAATTCCCTGTCTTAGGTCAGTTAGGATCACCACTTTATTTTAAGAATGTGAAATGTCAGAATAATAGTAGAGAGAATGATTTATGTCAGCTTTTATTTCTTTCATCATTCCCAGTGGGTCAGAAGTTTACATACACTCAATTCGTATTTGGTAGCATTGCCTTTAAATTGTTTAATTTGGGTCAAACGTTTCGGGTAGCCTTCCACAAGCTTCCCACAATAAATTTGATTAATTTTGGCCCATTCCTCCTGACAGAGCTGGTATAACTGAGTCAGATTTGTAGGCCTCCTTGCTCGCACATGCTTTTTCAGTTCTGCCCACAAATTCTCTATAGGATTGAGGTCAGGGCTTTGTGATGGCCACTCCAATACCTTGACTTTGTTGTCCTTAAGCCATTTTGCCACAACGTTGTAAGTATACTTGGGGTCATTGTCCATTTGGAAGACCCATTTGCGACCAAGCTTTAACTTCCTGACTGATGTCTTGAGATGTTGCTTCAATATATCCACATCATTTTCCTTCCTCATGATGCCATCTGTTTTGTGAAGTACACCAGTCCCTCCTGCAGCAAAGCACCTCCACAGCATGATACTGCCACCCCCATGCTTCACGGTTGGGATGGTGTTCTTCGGCTTGCAAGCCTGACCCTTTTTCCGCCAAACATAACGATGGTCATTATGGCCAAACAGTTCTATTTTTGTTTCATCAGACCAGAGGACATTTCTCCAAAAAGTACGATCTTTGTCCCCATGTGCAGTTGCAAACCATAGTCTGGCTTTTTATGGCGGTTTTGGAGCAGTGGCTTCTTCCTTGCTCAGCGACCTTTCAGGTTATGTCGATATAGGACTCGTTTTACTGTGGATATAGATACTTTTGTACCTGTTTCCTCCAGTATCTTCACAAGGTCCTTCGCTGTTGTTCTGGGATTGATTTGCACTTTTCGCACCAAAGTACGTTCCTCTCTAGGAGACAGAACGTGTCTCCTTCCTGAGCGGTATGACGGCTGCGTGGTCCCATGGTGTTGATACTTGCGTACTATTGTTTGTACAGATGAACGTGGTATCTTCAGGCGTTTGGAAATTGCTCCCAAGGATGAACCAGACTTGTGGAGGTCTACAAAAAAAAATCTGAGGTCTTGGCTGATTTCTTTTGATTTTCCCATGATGTCAAGCAAAGAGGCACTGAGTTTGAAGGTAGGCCTTGAAATACATCCACAAATACACCTCCAATTGACTCAAATTATGTCAACTAGCCTATCAGAAGCTTCTGACGCCATGACACAGTCAACTTAGTGTATGTAAACTTCTGACCCACTGCAGTTGTGATACAGTGAATTATAAGTGAAATAATCTGTCTGTAAACAATTGTTGGAAAAAGTACTTGTGTCATGCACAAAGTAGATGTCCTAACCGACTTGACAAAACCATAGTTTGTTAACAAAAAAATGTGTGGAGTGGTTGAAAAACTAGTTTTAATGACTCCAACCTAAGTGTATGTAAACTTCCGACTTCAACTGTACAATGGATAAGGCAGGGGTGGATAGATAGATAACCAGCACTGGACAAAATATAAATGGACTATAAAGGTTATATCCTGAATGACATTGAAGTTGGCATACAAAATTTAAGTTTTGTCTTAGAATCCGGGAATATACAAGAAATAAGTAGTCAACAAATGAGGAAATACTCAGAGGAAATACTGTAGAGACAACACAACATGTTCCAGTAAAATGCTTGCACACCTTGGCTGCTGCTAAACTCCTATTGAACTTACTGACCCAGAATGGAACATCTGCTGTGAAAATAAGCTAAGTCCCCACACTTGACTGAACCAAGCGCTACAATACTGTTACTGTAGTGTCAAGTGTAGTAGTTAATGGAGGTGTAAACCAGAGAGATGGAGAGAAAGAGCCATGTCAGGACAGCAGGGGGTGAATACTAGCGCCTCTCTTTCTCTCTTGTCTCCTGCTCCGAGAGCTTCTCTTCCCTTTGAGACCTCATGTTTTTGCTAAGTTGTGTGAGTCTGTTGAGTGACTAGGACTTCTCTGGTACAGCACAAAGTGAACCTTAGGGAGTGATTCAGTGTCTGCCGGGCACTTCACGCCTACTCCCTTCCCCTTTCCTAACTCTGACACTACTTCCTGAGAGAGGGGGGGGTGAGAGAGAATGAGAGAGAGAGTTGCAGAGGTGCAGAGAGGGAGAGAAAGTGAGAAAGTGAGAGAGCACCGCAGAGAGAGGGAGAGAAAGCTAGAGAGAAAGCAACAGAGAGAAAGTCTCTCTCACTCTCACTTTCCTACTCACTCCAACACTCCATTACTCCAGTGTTAAGGTCAAGTAGTGCCTGTGCTCAGGTCTTGACACAAACCGACAGATGGGCTTATGGGCTCTCTCCCTGAGCTGCCCCTGTGCCCCTAGGCCTGTTGGAGTAGGTATCTAGGGATCCTCTGAGAACTGTTTGTTTGGATAAACTGTTTGAGATTTGCCTCTCTCTGCAGAGAAACCAGAGGCTTTTTCCAGCAGGGTGGCATGGTAACCTAATACATAATTTGACCAGGTCAACCTCTCTCCATCTGTCTGACAGCCTACTCTGCCTCTGCCTCTATCTTTCTGTATTCTGTCCTCTTCTTCTTCTCTACCTGTTCAATTTCTCTGTCCTCCCTGCTCTTTCTAGCTCGCTCCCGCATTCTCCCTCTCCCTCTCCCTTTCATCCCCTCTCTCCTTCATCTCTGCATCTCTGCCGTTTCTCTTCTGATCTCTCTTTGCTCATTTGTTTGAAATGATTTGGCATCAGTTTGGCTATGTACAGACGTTGAATTGTGCAAATAAAGGTCGTTCAAATTTGTCTCTAGTTTTTCTCTGCTCTCTCTCACTCTCTCTTGATGTGCAGTGAGTTGAGGGTTGACTGACAGTCAGTACAGACTGTAGGAGGCTGTAGGAGTCTGATGGAGGGGTCAGACCAAATCCTCACAGTTTAACCAGCAGACTGACAGCTCTCTATAGCCCAGCTCCGGTGACAGCATGACAGCTGATGGAGGCTAGTGGAGGGGAATGAGTTCTTCAGTCTAGGTCAAGGTATTTTCTACTCTCTCCACCTGGGTCTTTATAAATGTTACGTCTCTTCCATCTCCATCTCCCCTCTCTGCACATTTACCTTCTTTGACATTTCTGACCACATCTTTCTGTCTTTCCACCTCTCTCTGTCTCTCCACCTCTCTCTGTCTCTCCACCTCTCTGCTCTCTCCACCTCTCTCTGTCTCTCCACCTCTCTGTCTCTCCACCTCTCTCTGTCTCTCCACCTATGTGTCTCTCCACCTCTCTCTGTCTCTCCACCTCTCTCTGTCTTTCCACCTCTCTCTGTCTCTCCACCTCTCTCTGTCTCTCCACCGCTCTCTGTCTTTCCACCTCTCTCTGTCTCTCCACCTCTCTCTGTCTCTCCACCTCTCTCTGTCTCTCCACCTCTCTCTGTCTCTCCACCTCTCTCTGTCTCTCCACCTCTCTGCTCTCTCCACCTCTCTCTGTCTCTCCACCTCTCTCTGTCTCTCCACCTGGTAAGGCCCAAGTGTGTATTCAGCTCCTACCTCAACCCAGGGCCCAGGGGAGGTATCCAGCTGTGACTCCCACCACATCTCCCTGGTGTCACTGCCTCACTGCTCCCCCGTCAACTGGAGATGCCTCCCTCTGACACCATATCATCCTAATGGCTCCTATGAGTCTGGGTCTCCAGAGGGCCCTCTGCTCTGACTAACTCCGAAGCACCACCGCAAAGTGTTATATTTGACAGCGAATGCTGCAGAAGAAGCGGAACTCCTTCGTAGGCGACTCTTTTGTCCGCACGCACACACAGCTGGCTGGTGCGCCCCGGCTGGCCAAAAACAGGCTATACTATATCTTTGTCTATAAAAAATGATCTGAGCTACATGTGATTGAACAGGAAGCATATTCGCTCCTTTCATTGCCTTCCTTGTAGACAGAATAAAACAGGCTTGTGAAAAATGTACTAGCCTAATCCGTAAGCCTTATAATACATGTATTAATACATAACAAACGTGCACATATTCATTAGTCAAGAAGAAACAAAGAAACTGAGAGAAAAGCTATTTTAACCTGGAAATCATTTATTTTCATTACATTTGCAATATAATCTTATTATCAATAGTGATTGACCTGCACAGGTAGGAAAGTGTCCAGATAACGGTGTGGTGATTGACCAGTAGACTAGGCGTGCATGTTCTGAAAGATTAATTCTAATCAATCATCTGAATACTTTAAGAACCCCCATCGACACCTGATGGGCCATCAGCGGGACAGTTAGTAAATATCCCTAAATTGATGTTGGTCATCTGCTATTGCCTGCTTGATTTAAAACAGCATCTAGTAAGATTTAACAGAGAAAGCGAGGATGTTTCGAACGGGATTCGTATTTCCAAACTGCCCCCTGTAATTCATACACAACATTGTTTTACATCCTTTAATAACAGACTCATAAACACAAACACGCAATATAGAGGGAAACTCGAGGTAGGCTATTGTAGCCCACAGTGCGCTGAGGGCTCTGTACTCAGCGTTGGACCCTCGGTGCCGCCTTTTGCTAAACAAAAAGCAGTGTAAGCGTCTAACTCACCCCAGAGCCCTGCACTTCCCCTGGGGGAACTTCTCCAGCCGAGGCCCAGGCACCATCCGGTCAGGCCATGTCTAGTACTGCTAAGCCCACCTAGCCCAGTAGCCTAGTAGCCTAGCCCCAGGCTAGTGTATAGCATAGCCTAGCCTAGCCGGGCTTGGCTCACCTCCATCTTATCTTCTCAAACAGTCTGTCTCTCTATCCTGCTGCTATAAAAAGCACCCCTCCCTTTTACCTGCAGGCTCAGAGGCTCTCTCATATCCTCCTCTCATAGCCTCCACTGCTCCTCTAGCTCCCTGACCTCCTGCAGCTCTGGGAGGTTTGGCTGGACTGTGCAGTGAGGAGGATCAGGTGCTCAGAGGAAACACAAGCCTCCCGTTCATCCCCTCAGACAGGAAAGACCAGGGGTAGAAAAGGTGGACACACTGAACTGTCAACCAGTCAACCAAGGAGGATTTGGTGTAGTTGCTAGGCTAGCTAGCTAACGACATAGACCAGAAAGCTTCATGAGGCTGTAAACTCTATCCTGAATTGTAGGCATGAGAAAATAAATAATAACAAGCAAACATCAAGAGATGCTGGTGGGAAACTATTAAACCAGAGCTCTTTTTCCACAATTCACACACTGGTAGCAAATGTGCACACATGATGATACACTATCTCAAAATGACCACTCCAGATTTCCCAAACCCTCTTCCCTGCTGTGCTCACCACACTCAACCAGCAAAAGCAATATGTCTGGTAAGAGCTTTAAATGTACGGTGCAGCGGATCACACAGGGTTGGGGAGGTTTACGGCGTACCTCTCTGTCTCTCTCCTCCCTCTCTCCTCCCTCTCTCCTCCATCTCTCTCTCTCTCTCGCTCTCTGATTTATAATGGAGCACAGCGGCGGTGCGGTGCCTAGGCAGGTAGTGTGTGTTCAGCTGGGCCTCTCCCTGACATGCTGGTCACACTGTTATCTGGGAGCTGTTGTTGGCCCTGTGTAAACCATCCATCTCACTCTGCAGGTGCACCGCTCCCATCTAGCCCCCATCCCTCTCCCAGCCCTCCCAGCCCTCCGGCCCAAAGATAAGATGCAGCTGATTAAACAGTTTTAACTCTTAAAGGGTGGCGAGGGGGTGGGGGTAGCGCTGCAGATGTGTCCCATTATTGACTTCTTTGTCCTTGAACGGGTTTGAGAGGGTCTTCCTCCACTCTCTCTCTTCTCTCCCTCCTCCCTCTCTTCCTCTCCTGGCTGCCACAACAGCAGCCATTATGAGTAGAGGATGTTATTAGAGCTGGCATTAGTTGAGGTTTGCCCTCTGCTGATAGGCATCCTGCTGGCTCATCTGCATGGGAGACCTGCGTCGATTCCCTATTAGAGTCGGCTCTGCATTCACCGCACACACACACTACTACTCTCACGTGATAGCCTGAAACTTCAGCATTATATACAGTATATAACACAGGAGGCACATATTCATGCGTGTGTATAGGCGCCCGCTCACACACGCACGCACGCACACTGCAGCTCAGGGGACCCACCCTCATCTTTCCTCTCCTCCCTTGCGTTGTTCAGTCTGTTTATTGTGCTCTCTCATGCTTTCTCTGCAACCATCTTCAGCCTCATCTAATCCTCCTCTTACCCAGCAGCATCCCTCATTCCTTTTCTTTCTACTTCATCACTCCAATCTGTTAACATAACAACTTTCTTCCTCTTTAAAAGCAAACGCATGTGGCGAATAAATGTGTCCCGTCTAATCGAGAACTGTATCTTCCCCCATAAGCCCTGACCATCTCCCACTTTTCAGGGAGCTGTCTGTCTGTGTGTGTCTGTGTGTACCTGTTGGTGGGGGTGGAGAAGACTCCCAGGATGATGTCCCTGCCGTGCATCCTGATGACAGGGCTGGTGGAGTGGAGCAGGTTGAAGTAGAAGTGGGAGTCTCCAGGGACGGAGCAGTTCAGTCTGGCCTTCAGGAACGATGTCCACTGCTTCTCCAACACCCTCTGAGAGCCACCCAGGTCCCCCTTACACACCCTCGCCACCCGAGACACCTGTACCTGAACACACGTGCACGCAAGCACGTGGAACAGACAGAACAGTCAATGACCTCGCACAATTCTACACATCAATGACTATGTACAGAGTTTTCCGCGCTGGGACAGTTTGAAGTGCACATATTTCACACATAAGATTTAGTGGTTGCCATATTCATGGGCTCATATTCATGGAGAATGTATAATAAAGACTGATAGATTTAAGTCAGAATTATGTTTTATTATGTTTTATACCACAATAAACAATCGTTCAAAATGAAGATAAAAACCTTTTTAGCCCTTGGGTGATCTCATGAAAATGTCAGTGCATTTGAAAACTGCTTCTTTGAACAATCTCAACCCAAACTACCGTGGTACAGTGTAAGTCTCCACTTACTGTGAGCCCTACAAACATGCAGCATGAAATGCCTGCGCTAGCACATTTCCACCAAATGTGAATTGCTAATTTATTAGATAAAAAGGCTTCTTGTTACTGTCATATTTTTTGCATGAGCACGTATCCCCACTCTGATATGACTGATGCCATTTGGAGTGGTTATGAAAAAGCTTTTCCCCGTCTAGATATGCAACAGCACAGACACACAGATACACAGAAACACAGATACAGGGAAAAAGGTCATCAGAAGTACTAGGCTGGTATTGACATTTGAATAATAACATGAGATGGAACATCCAGGCAGGCAGACACACGACACAGAGGGGTGTGTCCAAAGCTTTACCATTTTGTCTCGTACCTTCTCCAGGTAGTTAAACTCCATGGCCATCTCTCTGAAGAAGAAGTAGATGTGAGGACCCCATTCCACTGAACTGACAAAATAGGGCTCTGGAAAGGAGGGGAGAGGACCATGTTACACAGCGATAGTGGCTTGAACAAACACATCCCCATAGAGCTGTAAGAGACAGAGTTAGATGCCTCCCTAATCCCAGCCACAAACACCAGCGTTGTTAAGTATAATAATAATATAATATTTAGCAGACGCTTTTATCCAAAGCGACTTACAGTCATGCATGCATAAAAATTTTTTGTGTATGGGTGGTCCCGGGGATCGAACCCACTTCCTTGGCGTTACAAGCGCCGTGCTCTACCAGCTGAGCTACAGAGGACCACAGTAGGCATACCATTTGAGATTTTTTTTTAAATTGAGAAGGCTCATTTTCGTTGTCAGTTTCAAAAACCTGTTCTTGTTTGGTGCCTACTGAATACTACAGTGGCTTGCAAAAGTATTCACCCCCCTTGGCATTTTTCTTATTTTGTTGCCTTACGACCTGGAAATAAAATGGATTTTTTGGGAGGTTGTATCATTTGATTTACACAACATGCCTACCACTTTGAAGATGCAAAATACTTTTTTTTGTGAAACAAACAAGAAATAAGACAAAAAAACAGAAAATTTGAGCTTGCATAACTATTCACCCCCCCCAAAGTCAATGCTTTGTAGAGCCACCTTTTGCAGCAATTACAGCTGCAAGTCTCTTGGGGTATGTCTCTATAAGCTTAGCACATCTAGCCACTGGGATTTTGGCCCATTCTTCAAGGCAAAACTGCTCCAGCTCCTTCAAGTTGGATGGGTTCCGCTGGTGTACAGCAATCTTTAAATGTTAATGTTTCCCCTTAAACCCCTCGAGTGTTGCTTTAGTAGTATGCTTAGGGTCATTGTCCTGCTGGAAGGTGAACCTCCGTCCCAGTTGTCACGAATTCAGCCGAGGCTGCCCCTCCTCCTTGCTCAGGCAGGTTTCGGCGTTCGTCGTCACCGGCTTACTAGCCACTACTGCTCCATTTATCATCACTCAATTTGTCTTGTCTTGTCTTGTCAATCACACACACCTGGTACTCATTCCCTCATTAGTATGTGTATAAGTGTTCCCTCTGCCCCCTTGTCCTTTGTGAGTGATTGTTCATTGTGAGAGTGAGTAGCTCGGTTGAGCTACTCTTTCCTTGTATGTAGCCAAGGTGGATTTTTCCCTTGTGCTAGTTTCGTTTTGACGCTTGCTGCGCTTTATTCTTGTACACTGAATAAACTCTGGATTTCTGTGTTTTACCTCCTGCGCCTGACTCTGTCATTCACACCTCATCACACCAGTCTCAAATATCTGGAAGACTGAAACAGGTTTCCCTCAAGAATTTCCCTGTATTTAGCGCCATCCATCATTCCTTTAATTCTGACCAGTTTCCCAGTCCCTGCCGATGAAAAACAGCATGCTGCCACCACCATGCTTCACTGTGGGGATGGTGTTCTCGGGGTGATGAGAGGTGTTGGGTTTGTGCCAGACATAGCGTTTTCCTTGATGGCCAAAAAGCTCAATTTTAGTCTAATCTGACCAGAGTACCTTCTTCCATATGTTTGGGGAGTCTCCCATATGCCTTTTGGTGAACACCAAACGTGTTTGCTTATGGCAATGGCTTTTTTCTGGCCACTATTCCGTAAAGCCCAGCTCTGTGGCGTGTACGGCTTAAAGTGGTCCTATGGACAGATACTCCAATCTCTGCTGTGGAGCTTTGCAGCTCCTTCAGAGTTATCTTTGGTCTCTTTGTTGCCTCTCTGATTAATGCCCTCCTTGCCTGGTCCGTGAGTTTTGGTGGGCGGCCCTCTCTTGGCAGGTTTGTTGTGGTGCCATATTTTAATAATGGATTTAATGGTGCTCCGTGGGATGTTCAAAGTTTCAGATATTGTTTTATAACCCAACCCTGATCTGTACTTCTCCACAACTTTGTCCCTGACCTGTTTGGAGAGCTCCTTGATCTTCATGGTGCCGCTTGCTTGGTGGTGCCCCTTGCTTAGTGGTGTTGCAGACACTGGGGCCTTTCAGAACAGGTGTATATATACTGAGATCATGTGACACTTAGATTGTACACAGGTGGACTTTATTTAACTAATTATGTGACTTCTGAAGGTAATTGGTTGCACCAGATCTTATTTAGGGGCTTCATAGCAAAGGGGGTGAATACATATGCACGCACAACTTTTCCGTATTTTTTTTTTTTAGGGGGTAGATCAGCTTTAATATTGCAGATAGATTGTAACTTCCACCAATGTAATTGTCTGCATCACTTCCAATCTCCCATATGTTTTTATATATATATACAGTATCTCACAAAAGTGAGTACACCCCTCACATTTTTGTAAATATTTGATTATATCTTTTCATGTGACAACACTGAAGAAATGACACTTTGCTACAATGTAAAGTAGTGAGTGTACAGCTTGTATAACAGTGTACATTTGCTGTCCCCTCAAAATAACTCTACACACAGCCATTAATGTCTAAACCACTGGCAACAAAAGTGAGTACACCCCTATGTGAAAATTTCCAAATTGGGCCCAATTAGCCATTTTCCCTCCCCGGTGTCATGTGACTCGTTAGTGTTACAAGGTCTCAGGTGTGAATGGGGAGCAGGTGTGTTAAATTTGGTGTCATCGCTCTCACACTCCCTCATACGGGTCACTGGAAGTTCAACATGGCACCTCATGGCAAAGAACTCTCTGAGGATCTGAAAAAAATAAGTGTTGCTATACATAAAGATGGCCTGGGCTATAAGAACATTGCCAAGACCCTGAAACTGAGCTGCAGCACGGTGGCCAAGACCATACAGCGGTTTAACAGGACAGGTTCCACTCAGAACAGGCCTCGCCATGGTCGACCAAAGAAGTTGAGTGCACATGCTCAGCGTCATATAAGGTTGTCTTTGGGAAATAGACGTATGAGTGCTGCCAGCATTGCTGCAGAGGTTGAAATGGGTGGGGGGTCAGCCTGTCAGTGCTCAGACCATACGCCTCACACTGCATAAAATTGGTCTGCATGGCTGTCGTCCCAGAAGGAAGCCTCTTCTAAAGATAATGCACAAGAAAGCCCGCAAACAGTTTGCTGAAGACAAGCAGACGAAGGACATGGATTACTGGAATCATGTCCTGTGGTCTGATGAGACCAAGATAAACTTATTTGGTTCAGATGGTGTCAAGCGTGTGTGGCGGCAACCAGGTGAGGAGTACAAAGACAAGTGTGTCTTGACTACAGTCAAGCATGGTGGTGGGAGTGTCATGGTCTGGGGCTGCATGAGTGCTGCTGGCACTGGGGAGCTACAGTTCATTGAGGGAACCGTGAATGCCAACATGTACTGTGACATACTGAAGCAGAGCATGATCCCCTCCCTTCGGAGACTGGGCCGCAGGGCAATATTCCAACATGATAACGACCTCAAACACACCTCCAAGACAACCACTGCCTTGCTAAAGAAGCTGAGGGTAAAGGTGATGGACTGGCCAAGCATGTCTCCAGACCTAAACCCTATTGAGCATCTGTGGGGCATCCTCAAACGGAAGGTGGAGGAGTGCAAGGTCTCTAACATCCACCGTCATGGAGGAGTGGAAGAGGACTCCAGTGGCAACCTGTGAAGCTCTGGTGAACTCCATGCCCAAGAGGGTTAAGGCAGTGCTGGAAAATGATGGTGGCCACACAAAATATTGACACTTTGGGTCCAATTTGGACATTTTCACTTAGGGGTGTACTCACTTTTGTTGCCAGCGATTTAGACATTAATGGCTGTGTGTTGTGTTATTTTGAGGGGACAGCAAATGTACACTGTTATACAAGCTGTACACTCACTACTTTACATTGTAGCAAAGTGTCATTTCTTCAGTGTTGTCACATGAAAAGATATACTCAAATATTTACAAAAATGTGAGGGGTGTACTCACTTTTGTGAGATACTGTACATTTATACATACATACACATATATATATATATATACATACATATATATATATATATATATATATATATACATACATACATATCCTTTAAAATATATATATATTTCCCTTTATTACTTTCCAACCCCACCATCCCCTCCCTAATTGGAGTAAACTAGCGAACAACAATGCTTAAGCCTCTACTTCATGCTTATACATACTATATACATTTTATGGACACAGACACTAATTATATTTTGTTTGTTTTTACTCCTGAACTTCCTCCGATCATTTTCATGCCATATCTTTCTAACTGTGCTCTTTCACAAAAGCTCACAATATATAACCTATATACTTATTATGGACACAGCATGTCTTACACTAGTTATCTTGTTGTTATTAGTTGTTGTTATTAGTCCCATCCTTCAGCTCCATTCAACACCTCCCATCTATCTCTTAACACCATCCATATTGGATTTCTATTTGCCATATATTTTTCAACTGTACTGTGATGTTTTACAAAAGTTCTGAACCTTTCTATTGTCATTGTTTCTACAGTTTGTGAATTGAAAATAAACATCTTTGCTAAAAGTATTATTATATTATTGATCGATTGACTATGACTTTTCAGATCACCCAGTAGTGATATCTGCAGGATCAGTTCCATGCAAATATTGCAATCCTTCAGCCATTCCTGGACCTGTGTCCAGAAACAAGCTACAAATGGACAGTACCAAAACAAATGATCTAATGATTCTGTCTCTTCACAGCCAAATCTGCAGAGCTGGGAAGATTGTATCCCCCATACAAATAACATTATATTGGTAGCAAGAATTTTATATAATAATTTAAATTGAAAAATTCTAAATTTTGAATCCAGCGTCGTTTTGCGTATCAGTTCATAAACACTATGCCATGGAATCGGTACGTCAAAAATCTCTTCCCAACTATTTTGCAATCTATATGGGACGGCTGTCAATCTTTTGGTCCTTAAATGTAACTGGTAAACCTTTTTATTTATCACAATTTTCTTTAACCAATTATGTTCTTTAATGCAAGGCCGACAGACAAGTTCCTTACTTTTTCCTCCTTCCACTTTCCTCTTCCATTTTTGCGGTAATGCTGCAATTATTTGGTTGTAATTTTGGGTAGAGCAGACATTTCCATATGTTTTTGTAAGCTGCATGTGCGACATAACTCCACCATTCCTACCGATAATATCATTTACGAAGATTATACCTTTTTTAAACATTTTCTAAAAAAAGAACCGTTTTTTATCAATTAGTATATTTGAGTTTAACCACAATATTTGTTGCAATATTTGTTCTGTAATTTCTGGAGGATTAAATAGAAATTGCAACCAACTTTCTATGGCTTGTTTTAGAAATAGTGATATTTGGGAGATTATTTCCTTTTCAAATACCTGAAAGTGAGGGGTTGTAATCTGAATAAAGGGAAAAAGTCCCTTCTTGAACATTGGGTGAGACAATCTTACTAGTTTGCTAGAGAACCAGTTTGGATTTAAGTATAATTTTTGTATGACTGAAGCTAACACTTTTCCGTTATATATTTTTTAGAATTCTTTGAAACTAGTTATTTTTTTCATTTCACTTCACCAATTTGGACTATTTTGTGTATATCCGTTACATGAAATCCAAATAACAATCCATTTAAATTACAGGTTGTAATGCAACAAAATAGGAAAAACGCCAAGGGGATGAATACTTTAGCAAGGCACTGTACTCAGGCCATCAATCAATCAAACTTTATTTATAAAGCCCTTTTTACATCAGCAGATGTCACAAAGTGCTATACAGAAACCCAGCCTAAAACCCCAAAACAGCAAGCAATGCAGCCACATACAGACACAGAGCAGACCTGAGCCCTCAGCCCTGGATCCTCTGACCTCAGCAGGGATGCTGCTGACTAAGGCAATGTAGTGAGTCTGACACAGATATTGATCCTGATAGTAAGTGATGTAGACATAAACAGAGCCTTCTAACAACAGAGGCAACACACACACAAATACAAACAAATACACACAGCAGCCGCACACATACACACACAGATGCAAACACACACACACGCACACAAATAAATACACAGGGAAGTACCTCTGAACCATTTGGAGTCGTGTTTGACTGTGCGGAGTGCAGGACTGTCCCCCAGGCTACGGTAGATCACAGCGTCTATCGCCAGGAAGTCCGTCACAGTGGCCGTAAACAGATTCCCCTCTGGCAAAACACACACACAGTCAGTTACAATGGGAAATTGAGACAGTAACAGCTCATATCACAGCATAGATCATTGCAGAAGGTAGTGTGTATAGTGTATAGTGTAAAGTGACATTACATTACACAAATCAAATCATACAACTGTTGACCAATGAACAATGTATGAGTACATTAGAGATAATTACAGTGGCGCAACAGAGCCTCTAGTGCACAGTGGACAAATCCCTCTATTTCTACTGCTCAGTAATGTGAAATAAAGGCTTCCTATTGTTTCAACCACGGCCATAGATTATGTGATGATGGGGAACTACTGCAGCTACACAATGAGGTGTTTAAAACAATGAGTGTTTCCTCACCTGCGAACAGAGCCACGTTGGCGTGTTTAGGGTCATAGGGACAGCGGGCCATCCCACTGACTGTCTCTCCCACCATCTCCAGAGTGTCTCCCTGGAAAACACACACACAAACACAAATATCTCACTATACTGTATAATGTTGCTGGAAAACATTGAGTGAAATTCACCTTCACATGCAGTAAACATACAGGTAACTGCCAAAATAAAGGAAACACCAACATAAAGTGTCTTAATAGGGCATTGGGCCACCACGAGCCAGAACAGCTTCAATGCATGTCATAGATTCTACAAGTGTCTGGAACTCTATGGTGGAAAACGCTGTCTGAGGCGCCACTCCAGAATCTCTCATAAGTGTTCAATTGGGTTGAGATCTGGTGACTGAGACGGCCATAGCATATGGTTTACATAATTTTCATGCTCATTAAACCATTCAGTGACCACACGTGCCCTGTGGATGGGATCATTGTCATCCTATTGGGGCATAGCCATGGTAGCCAAAATAATGGCCAAAATAATGGCCTGCCCAAAATTGTTATACATGACCCTATGCATGATGGGATGTTAATTGCTTAAATAACTCAGGAACCACACCTGTGTGGAAACACCTGCTTTCAATATACTTTCTATCCCACATTTACTGAAGTGTTTCCTTTATTTTGGCAGTTACCTGTACATGCCCACAGAGTATGGAAATTAGCATATATTATAAAATATTCACAATATTATTATTCACCCTCTGCAATTATGCAAATGACACAAATACACACAAACGCAACCTTTTGAAACGCATGCAGCTAAACAACCACAGTCGAAATCGTCACACAGACACACCATCCCTGATTGAAAATGAATTAAATAAATGAAATACTGTGGTTGTCATTAAAACCAGCTATAAATAAACCCTAGGTTTGCTAACTAGTCCCAGGAGAAGCCCTGAGCACATCAGCCCAGCGCAGGTTTCACTGCTTAGTGTCATTAACAGCCAGAGATAATGGGCCAGGTATAGAGGAGGGAGTCAGTGTGCTGGTATGTTGGAGATGTGACAGACTGAACATATCACTTATCTGAAAGCCTTTGATAGTGAAACTGGATCCCCCCCATCCACCTCCTCCTTTCACTCTGCTAATAGATATTCTGGAGGAACGTTGAGAAATCGACTGAGCAAATGATTCATATTTATGCACACTTTTTCCTGAGGTTTTTCAAGTGGTTAGTCTGATTGACAGAGCAAGGATGTGGTTGTAATATGGAGCAGGTAAATGGGTAGGTCTGAGGTGTGCTCTTTCAGGACAGAGTGTGTTTCGGGTGGTGAGCAGCTCCAAGTACATGAGCAGTGCAACCACTTAGCGTTTTCCTTCTAACTGGCATGCCTGGGTTTCACCAGAGGGGAAGAAACGAATTACCCAGACACATCATAAGCACAGCCTCCTCCTCAGTCCTGGCTGACACTCTCCCAGCCCTTGCCTCTGAACTCTGATCATCTGTAAGCTCCACATACAAGTGTAAGCATGGTGCAATAGCTACTGATATCTGAGGAAAGCAGGGCTTTGTTGCCTCTCTAAGGGCCTCCCTCTCTCTCTGCCTTAGGTATTGAACAAATGAGGCAAATAAGTTGTAAATGTGCGAGTAAGCAATATGCTTAATCGTGTTTGTGAGTGAGCTCTAGGTTCCAAGAAAAATCAGAGTCCATTTATCAATGACGCACCAATCATTAAACTTTGATGCATGGCTGGACTGCTGACAGGTAGAGATGTGCTCAGCTTCCCAAAGCAGTAATGACTGCTGTTTGAGTAAGAGAGATAGTGTGTGTGTACGTGCGTTCTATAGGTACTCACAGTATAGTTGGCACACAGCGGATTGAAGGCGTTAGTCCCACATACAAACAGACCTCCTTGTCGACTCAGCAAAACCTTCATGAAGTTCCGACACTCGTCCTGATAGGAGACAGAGAGGGAGAAATAAGGGGGGTAGAAATCAGAATTGATTGTCTGTGACTTATTATCCTACTGCTAGGTGAAATTAGGCTTCTAAATGCATGATGGGAGGAGTTATCACATCATTAACACTGTCAATCACTTATTATTCAGCTCTATGGAGGCTCCCTGTCTGCATGCCTGCAGCATCAAAGAGTTTCCATTGGCTCACACCAGCTATTGATTGACAGATGGTAATCCCAGCTAACCTTGAGCTTTCAACCAGCACTCACTTAACTGCAGTAGTACGACCCTTATTACCATGTCATGTTAATGAGCAGCACGCCACTCACTAGAAGATCCAACATGTCATAGATAGTTGAACAGTGACTCATAGTAAAATAACCATGTTTATTATTCCTGCCACCTGTGTGAGTGTGTCTGTGCAGTGAGTAGTATCCCTGTACATGTAAATCCCTAGTGGCCTGTTCACCCCCTCCCTCCCCTCTCCTGTCCCAGTGAGCATGGCTCCAGCTCCTGGCCCTGCACCTGGTGCCTCAGACTCTGACCCTCCACCACGAGCCCCACTCACCGAGCAAAGCCATTGATGTCATTGGAGGGAGAGGGGGGAGCGGGGATGGGAGGAGGAGGGGGAGGGCTAGGGGCTGTTATTCCAGATGCTCCAGTCCCCAACAGGGTTCTCATTTTTCCACGGCCGAGCAAAGCAGCGAGGGGATTTGGGGAGGGGTGACGGGAGGGGGCGGCAGCGTGTGTAGAGTGAGGCGAGGTGAGAATTCCTCACGCTGCGGTGGTACTAGACAGGGAGACGAGTGACATACGAGGAGCCACTGCTCACTGCATACTAAATCATGACTGTGTGTGTGTGTGTGTGTTTGTGTGTGTGTGTGCGTGTGTGCGTGCGTATATCTGTATCTGTGTCTCTCTCTCTGTCTGTGTGTGTGTGTCTGTGTGTTTGTGTGTGTGTGCGTATATCTGTATCTGTGTGTCTCTGTCTGTGTGTGTGTGTGTGTGTGTGTGTGTGTGTGTGTGTGTGTGTGTGTGTGTGTGTGTGTGTGTGTGTGTGTGTGTGTGTGTGTGTGATGGACTGCACAGATTCAGAGTTCGTGTCAGTGTGATGTACATGTTTGTTTTTCAGTGGGACTGCTGTCTGAGCTGAAAGCTTCAACCAGATGTAACACACTGCACGCACACTTAATGACAAACGAGACGCAGTGCCAAAATCAATAAATACTTATAAGAGTACATAAGCCTAGCCAACACACAAAGTGTGGGCTTTTGGCATTGCCCTGCAGCGTAAATTGAAATACAGGATGTCTGCAGTATAAACAACAGGGATTTGTACTGTTTGGAAGCATCTCATCTCTTACATCATTGTGATCCATGGTGTATAGCTTTATTTGCTTGACTTTTTATCATTTTTGATTTTATTGTCATAATCTGCCTTCATATACATAATTTATTTGGCTCCTGTATTAAACCATACAGCCTGTACTTTATCTAGGGCCACATTCAGCTCTCCTTCCACCCTGTTTCCCTCCTCCTCTCTCCCCTCTCACCCCTCCCTCTCCCTGGGCACACTCCAGACAAAGCGCCACCTGTGCTGGCTGGCAGTTCTTTCACTTGACCCAGACCCAGATGATCGCAGCTCCACTTCTCACTGTTTGTGTTACACCACTGCATTATTAATACAGAGCAGCCCGGATGAATTATGCAGTGTGCCGCAGATATGAATACAAACATGTTGGTATTCGTGGTATTGTGAGTCAGTGTGTGTGTGTGTGTGTGTGTGTGTGTGTGTGTGTGTGTGTGTGTGTGTGTGTGTGTGTGTGTGTGTGTGTGTGTGTGTGTGTGTGTGCGTGCGTGCGTGCGTGCGCGTGTGCGTGCACGTGCTTCCACAGGGTTCCACAGAGCAGCAGGACTACAGTACAGTACGACTCTGAGCTTTTAGCCAGATGTGTGTGTGGGACTGAACACACTGAGGGTTCCTTCCTCTACAGCTGTTGACCTGAACATATGCATTCCTCTCCCTGCTGATTCCCAGCCTGTAGCCCACCGTTCCTCTCTTTACTCTCAGTCAGACCCAGACCTCGCTCAGAGGAACAACAACCCTCTGTTACCACAACACATCTGCTCACAACAACCCACCACAGTCAGAGAGCAATACTACTGAAGACTCCCTCCACCTAGTGCATCTGGTTTCCACTGATCTAATCCTCCTGATGTTGAACTGGTTGCACAATCACACACGTTCCTAGTGTGGTTCACCTTTGTTTCATAAACCTACAGTATGTTATTACCTAAGCATAGAGATTTAAGGAACTCCACTAAAAGAAGTCGACTTCCTTGGACCATGATGTTTTCACTAAACTGAGGATGAGCTAATTACCATAGCTGAGTTTAGCCATGCTCGAACGACATTGGGCGGAGATACATAAAAAAAAATTAAGCTAGTTTCCTGCAATTCTACACATTTTGTCATGGCTTATGCAGTGTTCTTATACTGTCAGCGACTCAAACATTAAAACAAAATCAATGGGGGCCCCATGCCATGACATTTTTAGAATTTTAGATTCTCCCTGACAGTCTAGTTTTTATTTTGCTGATTGTTAGTTCTCAAAAATATATACCTCCATCATATTTTCTACATATTTTATAAATGTTTTACCATCCCGAAAATTATTTAAAAGAAATATATATATATTTTTTTGTATCATATTTTTGGGAGTGGCAGCAACGATTTAGCAGCGGCGGAACGCCGCAGCTAAATGAATATAGGGGAAACACTGTATCATCACAGCTTCTCACTAAAACCTCAAAAGTTTCCGTAGCATGCTCGAATGGGTCCATCACTGCTGGGACCAGCCAAGAGCTCAGAGAGAGACAGAACTCTTTCCACACTCTAGCAGGCTACTCTCCTCTCCTCTCAACTCCCTCTCCTTGGGTGATCCACGCTTGACTCTGCTCATCAGAAGCAGATCTGTCATTTCAAGGCAACATTCTGACTTAGACTTTGATGTAAAGCAGAGTGACTGTGGCACGAGAGGGTGGAGGCGGAGGGCGAATGGGGAGGACAAATTAACAGCAGTGCTAAATTAGCACAAATTTGCCCGTAAAAAGGCACTTCCTGCCCACGTCCTCTCTTACTCAGCATGTTAGTACTAATCCTCTCCCAAGCTCCTCTTGTCTCTCGCAGAGGCTGTTTGATGCTAATCCTGTGTGAATGCACTACAGGTCAGCATCAACATCTCCCCTGAAGAGGAGGAGGAAGGGGGGGGGGGGGGGGGGGAGATTCAGAGACTATCTAAGGCAGCCATGTGGCAGTAATGGTTAGGACACCTTTAGGCTGACCCAGAGTTGCAGGGTCAGCTCCCTGTCGGGAACACTGTGGTCTCTCCTTGACCAAAACACTTAACCCAAATTACTGCAGTATGTGGCCTGCTAAGGAAATGAGAAGCATGTTCTCCAGACCATTTCCAGAGACCTTCTCCCTTACCTCACCTCGCTCATCAACTCATCCTTGACCGCTGGCTATGTCCCGTCTGTCTTCAAGAGAGCGAGAGTTGCACCCCTCCTCAAAAAACCTACACTCGATCCCTCTGATGTCAACAACTACAGACCAGTATCCCTTCTTTCTTTTCTCTCCAAATCTCTTGAGCGTGCCGTCTCTAGCCAACTCTCCTGCTATCTCTCTCAGAATGACCTTCTTGATCCAAACCAGTCAGGTTTCAAGACTGGTCATTCAACTGAAACTGCTCTTCTCTGTGTCACGGAGGCTCTCCGCACTGCTAAAGCTAACTCTCTCTCCTCTGCTCTTATCCTTCTATACCTATCTGCTGCCTTTGATACTGTGAACCATCACATCCTCCTCTCCACCCTCTAGGAGTTGGGCATCTCCGGCGCTGCTCACTCTTGGTTTGCGTCCTACCTGACAGGTTGCTCCTACCAGGTGGCGTGGTGAGAATCTGTCTCCGCACCACATGCTCTCACCACTGGTGTCCCCCAGGGCTCAGTTCTAGGCCCTCTCTTTTACATTTACATTTTAGTCATTTAGCAGACGCTCTTATCCAGAGCGACTTACAGTTAGTGAGTGGATACATTTTCATACTGGCCCCCCGTGGGAAACGACCCCACAACCCTGGCGTTGCAAGCGCCATGCTCTACCAACTGAGCTACACGGGGCCTCTCCTATTCTCTCTATACACCAAGTCACTTGGCTCTGTCATATCCTCACATGGTCTCTCCTATCATTGCTACACAGATGACACACAATACATTTACTCCTTTCCCCCTTCTAATAACCAGGTGGCGAATCGCATCTCTGCATGTCTGGCGGACATATCAGTGTGGATGTCGGATCACCACCTCAAGCTGAACCTCGGCAAGACGGAGCTGCTCTTCCTCCCGGGGAAGGACTGCCCGCTCCATGATCTCGCCATCACGGTTGACAACTCCATTGTGTCCTCCTCCCAGAGTGCAAGGAACCTTGGCGTGACCCTGGACAACACCCTGTCGTTCTCCGCTAACATCAAAGCGGTGACCCGATCCTGCAGGTTCATGCTCTACAACATTCGCAGAGTACGACCCTACCTTACACAGAAAGCGGCACAGGTCCTAATCCAGGCACTTGTCATCTCCCGTCTGGATTACTGCAACTCGCTGTTGGCTGGGCTCCCTGCCTGTACCATTAAACCCCTACAACTTATCCAGAATGCTGCAGCCCGTCTGGTGTTCAACCTTCCCAAGTTCTCTCATGTCAACCCGCTCCTCCGCACACTCCACTGGCTTCCAGTTGAAGCTCGCATCTACTAAAAAACCATGGTGCTTGCCTACGGAGCTGTGAGGGGAACGGCACCTCCTTACCTTCAGGCTCTGATCAGACCCTACACCCAAACGAGGGCACTACGTTCATCCACCTCTGGCCTGCTAGCCCCCCTACCTCTACAGAAGCACAGTTCCCGCTCAGCCCAGTCAAAGCTTCTACCCCCCCCCCCCCCCCCCCC